GACCGTGGCTTTGTAGGGGACTTTACCTAAAACACTCTGCCGAAGAGAGAGTTGCTGCCTGTGCTCACAGTACAAGCTACTGAATATCTGGATCTTTGGTAGCAATGTGTCTCTGAATGACAGCTCAAAACAATAGCACAGAGACACAGACAAAATAAAGCACTACCTACGACCAACCCAGCTCTTCCACTTAACGATCTTACATGCTTTACTGCTTCTCTCTCTTATGTGTTTTCTCTCTCCCTGCGCCAGACCACTTGTGCTGCAATTTCCCACATGTTACATCGAACATGGAGGGACATGGCATAAACTGGGAAATGCCTGTAGGGTCAGAGCCTTTTCCTATAGGCTATAGTAAGGGCCTTAATACTTGTTCCTAGGGTCAGCACATACCTAGGTACGTCTTTAGGGCTGCTGCAAGGCTGAGCAGTGAGCACCATCACCTGGAGCAGGGATGGCCACTGCTGGCCGTCAGCAGATCACTGGAAGGGCTTTCTGCCTGCATAGAGCAAGGAGACGGGCAAGGGGAAGGGGACTGGTGCAAACCCCGATGTCCCCTCAGCATTGAGCCACGACAGCGCCAGCACCCAGAGATGAGACCTCAGGCATGCTCTTAGAGCTACTGGCTTAGAGTAATTGTAGTGTAGCTGGAAGAAAACCATCTGTTAATCATAATCCAAATGGCAAGGCTAGGGTTTTACAAGGCTCCCACATGGTATAGGAACAGGACTTACAAAGGCTTCAATCTGCCTATGCTGCAAGATTTAATCATACTCTTATTGCCTATTTTGTAAATGGTTTCTAGAGAGTAGACACGAGACCTGGGAGATCCCCAAGAGCTTCTGCCCCCACTTCTCCAGCAGGCCACTTTAAATGTGAGAACCGTGTCTGGGACTGGAGGAAAAAGTCAAAAATCTCCTTTAAAGGTCCTGCCCTGTTCATCTTTGAGCATGGAGGGGTGAGAGCAAAGGATACCCCCCAGGAGGCTGCCCTCAGTGGCGGGGCTCCCAACCCACCAGTGCCTCTAGGGTACTTAGGTCCCTACGTAAACTCTTCCCCCTCCAGTTCAATTTTCCCCCAAGGCCCAAGTTCACAATTTCTCCCCTCCCACCCTTTCAGTCAGAGTAAGCCCCAGGTACATTTTAGGGCTGGTTGCATAAGCAAAAGCCACCTTTGTATGGGGAGAAAGGGACCCTGCTCTTCTCCGGGCGGGTGCTCTCCTCCCCTTCCCCAGCAGCTGGAGACTGGCTCAGGACGCCCAGGGCTGACAGCGGTACCAGAGAGCTCTGGCAGAGCTGACTCACTCCCATGGAGGAATTGTTCCAAAATCAACTGGAATTTAAAGGTAGACCTATGGGTAGGAAGCCCCTAAAGGCAGCGGGGAGTGGGTTGGAGCACCTGGTATGTGGCATCTGCCTGGTGCTTTGTGCAGCCTTTCAAAGCCCATCACAAAGAAGGACGGGGGGCACTCAGCTGTGGGCTGGGGGGGTTGGGGACTAAGGCGTTCCTCTGCCCTGTGGAGATGGTGATGAAATACTAGTGACAGTACACTGCAAATGAGCTAAGGAAGCTGGAGCCTGATCACTGCGTTGCTTGTGTCACGCTCCTCTGTTTCCCTGGGACCTCTGTTTTGCTCTGTCCAAGGTGGGATTTTTCCCTCTGACCACTTTGATTCTGAGCTACGTTCAATGCTTGTGGCGTATTTTCTTAATGTGTCTGTAACACAGCAGGGCTGTAGTAACGCAGACAGGACCAAACCATTTTATACCTCACTTAGCTCACACTTATGGCTAAGCAAGACTCCTAACCGCAGGCAGCTCAGCAGCGCGCCAGGAGCCAGCAGCCCAGTTTTACACCCTGCTTATAGTACTGGTTTTCAGGGAAAAAATGCCTATACCAAATGACCTATTTCACTAATGCATTTTAAAACCTTTATAAAAGCTGTCCAGTGATAGCTGAGAGTGACCGTCCTCTTTAAAAAAAACTTCTGGAGAGCTCCTGCTCGCTACAGCAGGGAGCAAACACTCCTAGTCCATACTGAGGCACTTTGGCAGAGATTTGTTCGACACCAAAAAGCATATAAGCACCCCCCAGCAAGGTTTTACTAAGAGAGCTGCCTGTCTTGAGCAGCTGCTGGCTGCCAAAATGCCAGTGGAACAAACTATCCCCCATGAACAGGTGAGAGCCTCTGCACCAACATCCCAACGCTTCAGCATTTTGTTGCAAGCAGCTTTTCCACTCACGGTTCTTCCCTTCGGAAAGTCAGAACACAAATCCGCGCTGCTGATCACTTTGTTCTGCAGCTGAGAATTCAAAATATTTGTCTCTGGAACTGGCTGTTCTGTTGTTAAACCGGTTTCAGTGCACCAGGACTACGGAAATCGGCAGTCAGCTTTTGAATGGATGCATTGCTCTGTCTCTAACTTTATTACTAAATGCTGATAGTATGGGCATGGGGTTAAAAAAGTACAACAAATAATTAAAATTAGAACTAAAATGCCTGGTAGGCCAGCATGGAAACTGGTTCCCGACACACCTGCAATTTAGGAAATGTAGGAATTGTAGGATCTGGTTGCTGCTGTTCAGGTTAGGTCTAAGGAAAAAAAGTCAGGCAGCTGAAAACAGAGAGGGTAAACACAGCTAAAAGAAGTGGAAAGCTAGTCCCCACAGATCTTTCCTAGGGCTCAGTTTGGAGGGTGTTGCCCTCCGTCTCGGTCCCATCGCTGCATGCACGAAACGCGGTCCCACCTCGGAAGGCAAAAGGCGCTTTCTTACTCACTGTTCTCCGCAGATCCTCCGGCCAGCGACAGGGCAGAAAGCAGCATGAAGAGGTTTTGCTTTCGCATGTTGCCTTGGCGGCGCTCCCACCCGAGGGGCGCTTCGGCGGGCTCCCTGCTTCACCCGAACATTTACATTTCCTGTTTCCTGCCGGGGTGCATCTGAGCTGCATTTCTTCAGGAGATGGACTCTCTTTGATGGGTTTTAGGAAGTGATGTAATTCTGTCTGGGCCTGTCAAGCAAGCAATGATTGCAAAAGAAAGAAGGAAGAAAAAAAAAGAAGTTGCTCTTCAAGCACTAACTTGGCTGAAGCACCTCTATGCTGTAGGTGAGCGAGCTCCTTCTCTCCTCTACTTTTTTGACTCTCAACTTTACTACCATCTCTCTTCATCTACATGCAGTATCATGGGGGCAAACATCACACAAATACATCAGACACAAAATTTCATTTATGCATTCTATCAGAAAGGTTTTAAGTTGGTTTTCAGGGTGGTTGAGCAAAGCAGATTTCAATAGTGCCTCCCCCCCCCCCACCCCCCCCTTGGTTTTCAAGCTGTAATACTCCCCCTAGCGCGGTGCGACACTGTGTGCATTTATGACCCTAAAAGGCAACCCCCAAGCAGTGCTGCCTCCAGCAAATGGGAAAAATGGCTGGTTCACTTGGTAGCCTGTAACTGAGTATTTTGGGCTGGTTTGAGCCAACCAAGAGGAAAAACCAGAAAACCACATAATTTTTTGTTAGGAGCAGGTGGCTTAGCTGGAAAGCACTTAGACACTGGTGTGATGATGGCTGTAGATGACAGAAGGTCTCGAGCCCCACAAGGATGCAGTGCCTGGCATGGAGGTCCATGGTGCCACAGCTGATGGAGGTGTTGAGGGGGCAGGTCCTGCCTCCCTTCTTCCCTTCTCTTGATTTTTGCTCCTTCCCAGTGGTTCTACTGGTGTAGACCGGTACTGGAGTACTGTATTCAGTTCTGGGCCCCTCAGTTCAAGAGGGACAGGGAACTGCTAGAGAGTCCAGTGGAGGGCTATGAAGATGATGAGGGGACTGGAGCATCTCTCTTATGAGGAAAGGCTGAGAGACCTGGGGCTGTTTAGCCTGGAGAAGACTGAGAGGGGACCTTATCAACAGTTATAAATATCTAAAGGGTGGGGTGTCAGGAGGATGGGGCCAGGCTCTTTTCAGTGGTGCCCAGTGACAGGACAAGGAGCAACGGGCACAAACTGGAGCACAGGAAGTTCCACCTGAACTTGAGGAAAAACTTCTTTACTCTGAGGGTGGCAGAGCACTGGAACAGGCTGCCCAGAGAGGTTGTGGAGTCTCCTTCTCTGGAGAACTCAAACCCTGCTTGGACGCAGTCCGGTGTGACCAGCCTTAGGCAAACCTGCTTTAGCAGGGGGATTGGACTAGATGATCTCCAGAGGTCCCTTTCAACCCCTGCCATTCTGTGATTCTGTGATTCTGTGATTCTGTTTCTGGATGGGTACGCAGACTGTGGGGCACGTCCCCCTCCCCCCACCCTGCCCTGCTGTCCCGTCCTCTGCCCCCACTGCCGACTCACCCAGAAACACACAAGGTTGACCAGGAGCTTCCACGTATTGCCTGTAGCTGGATAAGAGCACCAGAGGAGCTCAACATTAAACCTAACATTTTCAGTCTTCCTGCTCTATGGGGTGGACCTAGCCAGGGCTTAGAATTTGGACCCAGATCTAAATCATACCTGTCCCCAAGCAGGGAGGGTGGTTGGACCATAGGTTTGGTTTGTTCCACTGTACAAATAAGTGCTAGGTCTAAGATTCATCCCTCTGAGTCCAGGAGAGTCAGCACTCCAGATTTTACTCTGCAGCATCTCAGGTTTGAGCCATTTTAAATAGTTGCCTAAAATTTTCCAGGAATAAACTAAAGAAGAAGAGATGTATGCTGCGTGTGCAGCAGCTTCATGTTACTTCCCCCAGACATGAGTCTGTGCCAAAATAGGTTTTCTGCTGAATTAGTTAAAGCTGACATCGGTGAATCTTTCTGTTCAGATTGGTGGGAGCTGCTGCAGCGACCAATCGTTGCTCTGCTTCTCCAGCTAATAATTTTTCTTAACACACTGATGCTTTTATAGGTCATCAGTTATAGTTTCTTAGCTTGAGTAGCTGAGAAATAGGTCAGTGATTCATTTAATGACCAGTTTGTTGATAGATTTAAAACACTTGAATGACTTAGTTAACTAAAAACTGGTTGCTTAGTATTGGCAATGTATGATTATGCACTACATAAAACTAGGGTGAAAAAGCAAAGCAAAGTTACAACATCGCAGCTACAAGAAGATAAAGAGGAGCTCTGAGTTATGAAACTGCTGACTGACTAATTAAATATTTCTAGGATATATTCTTTAATATGATGTCATAGCCATACATGATAACACTTACCAGACAGAAGTGTCAGAGGTGAGACTTGCAAGTGATTTTAAGATTTTCCCATTAAAAAATGACAGACGTTCCCAGTATTAGTAATAGTGTCCAAATGATATAGATACTTTCAATTATGAAAGTACAGAAATTGAGGCTACCCAGGCATCTCCTATGTGCTCAGAGGCACTGTGGCTTTGTCTAGTCTGGTGACTGGAAAACCAGTAATTGCCCGTCTGGCCAGCATGGGCAAAGACTGTCTATGTTTTCATAAGCATAGGTCCTAAGGCTGTTACTATTGTCCAGCCCCAGCTTTTCTTTAACTTTAGTCAACAGTAGGCAAAGTCATACTTTTAAACAGTATTTGTGTTGCCTTAATGTATAAATGATGTGCTATCCTCCTTCCATTTCTTCCTCATCTCCTTCTCGAGTTTGCTGCTTTCAGTCTTTCTAATACCATGTGGGCTGCAAACATGCTCTCCCGGTTTATCCTGCCCTGCATATTTGGCTATTTTGCCCCACTCTGTAGACTTAGCCCAGCTCACTCATCCCTTACTAAAACATAAGCCTAGATGGAAAGACTGGAAGGGAAAAAAGGAAAGGACTTGGTTTTGTTTTGTATCTTTGCTGGATTTTTATCTCATATTTCTAATGTACAAGACTACATCCTTTCCTCTTTTCCCTTCCAGTCTTTCTATATAGGTTGTAGCATTTCCCACTCAGATTCTCATCAACTATCTTTGACACATGTCTGGCTAACAACTCATCACTGCCCCTTGAGAGCAAGATAGCCACCCACTGGTGTGTACCCAATTAATGATTTCTAAGGCAAATTAAAATTCAGGATACATGACTTTGTGCCACATTACATTCCAATTAAGACTCTAGAGCGATACAAAGGCAGCTTGGCATGCATTTGACTATTTCAATTTTTAAAAAAAATATAGAGAAAGAAGAATGAGATATTTTGGATGGTGATGAATGGGACTGTCACAGAAGGGCAGTTACCTCGGCCCATCCCCACCAGCGCTGCAATCGTGCTCCCCTGAAGCACTCCTAGTGGGGTCCCTTTTGCCTGCCTGGGAAGCAAGGTTAGTACCTTCACCTCAGTTGTTGTCTTCAGCCACATGCTTCTCTCTTCACAGTAGAAATACAGAAACCAGAAGCTATAGTGACAACCTTGCTGCAAAACAAACCTGTGCATTTGGAAAGCCAGGTGGCTTAAGTCACAGATGGTTTTTGTAAGAGAGGTAGATTGTATATGATAATTTCATAGGCCTTAGTGTATTTACTAGGATCCTTAGCAAAAAGAAATGTCTTTTCCCAAGTGAAACATCTAAGTTTCCTGGGTGTTTTCAGCATATGTGACCCAGCTGGAAATATCTGTACATGCTTTCTGTACTGTTTCATCGATTTTTATGTTATAAAGGCCATTTCTGACCACCTAGCTAGGCTAATGTTCTTCCCTAATCAGAGAAGAGTTTGCATCACTGAGATTACAAGATGTCATCAGTATGATATTTTCAGAAAAACAGAAATGTTTTGTAACACTACAGCCACTTGACTCACACTCATCTTGTTCCTTATTCCTATGAAAACTCCAACAACAACAACAGCTAAACTTTTGAGAATGATGGAGCAAGTTGCTGGTTAGTTATAGGGCTTATATTATAAACTCCTGCTAGTGCAGCTTGTCTGCTGCAGATGTCAGCAGATAATCTGCCTGCTCTGAAGTACAGACACCAGTTGAGTTCTGCTAGTCCCTTAATGACTTATTTCTACCTCTGACTTATGCTGGGAAAGGACAGATAAAATTTTCCCACAAGTCACTGTGAAAGAACGGGAAGTTGCACTGTATTGCAATTCACTGCAACATACACACACAAAACATTTTTAAAGAATCCCCAAAGCAAAGGAGGGTGTGCAAAGCCCACAGGGATCTTCTCAAGCCAGCCCAAGCACAAGCTGCAATGGTGCTTCTGCGGGCTGCTGAGATAAGCAAGAGTTGCAGAATCATGGCTGAAATCCACAGCATCCTCATGTAGAAACCTCATGAGGATCTGGAACTGGATCCATGGCTGCATTTGTTTCAGAGCAAGCTTTGCCTGTGTGAGTCACAGAAGATAAAGCTCGCTCTCTCCAGTAAACTCTCTGAATTCTGGATTATATGAAAAGACAAGTTACATTTTATTTCGGCTGCAGAGGTGCTCGAGAAAAAGATTTATACCTTTCTGAAACCAATGCCACCAGTATAAATTAGAAAAATGCTTAGAACAATGAGATATTGTCCCTAACTGGGTATCATCAAATAACATAACTAAAAAGAGAGTGACAATAAAAGCATAAAACCAAGTACCTGACAGTTCTAAGTACCTCTTTACTTAAATGGGCTTGTAAATTTCTGATTTCTTTTACTGTCCTTTTCTTTATATTCTTCCGTACGCAAAACACAAGCTGTTAAATCATGGCTATAACATTTCGGAGACTTTAATGGGAACAGAAGGAAAATACAAAACTATACTTGAAAATATCCAGATATTTCTATTTAAGTTTCCTTTAACAAAATGAAAAATGAATTCAAAGAGAGACTTCTAACTTTGAAAAACTCCTCTGAAATGAAAAAGGCTGCAGGGTGCAGCTAGGGCGCTCTCAGACTTGCGTCCAAGTGTAGCTGGACACTTTGTTTCTACTCATTTTTTGGAAAGCAGTACATGGATTATAAATGTTGCACATG